CCTGCAAGGTTATGGAGTATGGGCTCTTCTGTATGAGTCCTGAAAATATTTGGACTTGTGGATTATTTTCTTCTCATAAAAAACAAAACAAAACAAAACAAAACAGAACAAAACAAAACAAAAGAAGCTCTCATTCTCCTCATACCTGCTGAATACCTGCAAAGACCCATTAATTGTGGCACATTAACTATATTTTTTAACCTTTGACATTGATGAATGAGTTCTCAGATAACTGTCAGAAGTAATACTTTTACTTCTGTATATCCATATGTGCCTGCTGATCAGCAGACAATTAAGTTAGATACATAAATTTTACGGCTTTTCGTTTTTTCCCCTCTTTAAGGTTTACAACCTCCCCTTGAAAACTGTATTCATTGTTGAGTTGAAAATAAAAGTCCCCAATATCTGCTTAAAACCTGTACTGTTTAACGGCTAATAGAGAACTCTTTCCTGTTAATTCTCTTGACTATGAAGATTGTAAAATAAGATGGATTAGACAATACTAAAGTAACTAGAAAGCATTAAGCATTCCTGTCAAGCTAGACTGAAATCAAATATTTATGCACTACTGAATCACTTTCTGATTATAAAGCTGCTGCCAAATAGATTCAAATGCTAAAGGATCTGATGCTAAACGAATTGAAATTTTACTGCATTATTTATTTGGGCTAGTTAAACCTGTCCACAAGCCATAAAATAAAAGTTAATAGTGCAGTTGTGTTAAAGAAGTTAATGTTAATGAAATTACATTGCTATTTTTATGCCATCTTATTGCACAGCTTTTTGAAATAATAAAATTGCCACTTACATCAGGCCAGCCTCCATTTGGCTTAATGTGCCATCTCTGATAATGGCCAGGACCAACACTCAGATGAATGCAAGAGAACCTGTAAGCAAGGCATTAATAAACCCAGTGTGCCCAAAGGATGCTTCTTCTGTGCTCCTTTGACTGGAATTTTGCTTATAGCTTGAAGCTGGAGAGCTTATATGCATTCCAAATACTTTGTAATGTGTGAATTTAATGAAGTTGGGAATGCTAATATCCACTGGAAATGCACATTCTTTTTGACCAGGATCAGCTCCTGAAATCTTAATATTTTAACAGTAATAAACCCAGCGTGGGTTATTAGAAACATCAGTTTTTAAATTGCTGTCTTTCCTTTTTATTGAATGCTCTATTAATTTTGTGTTATGGGAGAAGATATATCTAAGCAGCAGTATAACTTCTCTGTAATAATTCTGTTATATTCTCCTAGCAGGTTCCTCTTATTTGTTTGCTGATTAAACAAAGTAGTCTCACTGGCAGGGAGAAATGTGAAGTGGGTGGATTCACTGGGGGCTGCAGATGTAATGAAAACAGCTCTACTTCTATGCTATGAGACTGCTAACAAGAGCGCTGATTGCTGCCAGTTATGGCAATGGGTTTATGGTATGGATAGACTTCTACCATGACTGGGTCTGAATGCAATGTTTTTTTCCAGTTTGGCTCTCATTCTTATAATGTAAGGAAGGAGAGATGACACCTGGGAACCTGCTCTCCTCGGATTCACTTACCTCAGCGGAATAGAAATGAGGAGGTTCTGTTCCAGTGCCAGATTGGAAAGCTGCACACACTGCTGAAGAGCTCCTGCCTCAAACATGCTAACAGCGTTGTTGTCAAGAAACAAGTGCTTGAGGTCTTGTAGTCCTTGGAAGTCCTGCGCTGTCACCCTTTGAATCAGGTTATTGCTGCAGTCGAGTTTCTGCAGCCTGCCAGGCAGCCTGAGTGGCATAGTGTGGAGCTGGTTCTTAGAGAGCTCCAGTGTTGTTAAATTAGGAAGAAGCTGGGCACCATCTATTGATGTTAGCTGATTTTCTGACAGGAAGAACTCAGACAGATTTTCTAGGTGCTTCACATCTCGAAGTCTTATTGTTTTGAGTTGGTTTTTCTCTAATTTTAGTGACAGCAAGGATTTAGGTAGGTCAAGAGGCACTTTTGTCAGGAAGTTGCCACTTAAACTGAGAAACTGTAGATTTTGGAAAGAAGCAAAGAAGTTGGTTGGGAATGAGTTCAGTTTATTATCAGCCATACTCAGATACTTCAGCTTAGGAAGCTTAAGTGGTGCAGACACAGATTCCATGTTGTTCCCTTCCAGAATCAGACTTTGTAAATTGCAAAGGGAAGAAAATGCACTTGGAGGCAGAGTCGCAATCAAGTTGTTCCGAATATCGAGCACCCTTAGTTTCATCAAACCTTCAAAATCAGATGCATGCAGAGTGTTGATGGAGTTATCAGCGAGTTTTAAAATTTCAAGGCCAGATGGAAGGAAGGTAGGTATTTGCTTTAGCTGATTTTTGTAGAGTTCCAGGGACTTCAAGGTGCTCAGAGCTTTGAAAGTATTGTTTTCTATTGATTCTGTGCCACTGCATGACAGGACCAGCTCTTCAAGGGATGACATTCTCCTGAAGTCAGTAATCTTAAAGAGAAAAAAAGAGAGTAGATGGTTATTAATGTTCAGGGCACTCAGCAGAGCTTGTGGGAGCATTTTGAGTTCATCATACAGACATTTCCATATATCAGCAGTATTATCACTGCAGCATGTATTCCCCAGAGAAAGTACACATGGATATCATCACCTCTCCCTGCTATGAATTTTTGTCAGGAAACTAAAATCCAATGCTTGCATTTCTTCTCTCCCCCTACTATCTCTTCTTTTCTTTAAAGTAAAAACCTCACATATTAAGATGACCAAACCAAAAGTGTCAGATCAGCTTGGTCTGAAAATTGTCAGATCAGCTTGGTCTGAAAATCACCTCTGTGGGAGAGATAGCTTTTACAGGAACTTAGTTTTTGTTAGCTGGCAATAAACAGATGCTTTGCAGTGGTAAATGGAACTTAGATGTTGGCTGTGGCTATAATATACAGAGGCATAGTAATTGTTTCATTATTATTCTGCTCTGTTGGTACCTGCTTGTTTACAAAGCTTGCCACCTTGTGTCTCAAGAAGCAGACTTAAGTGAATCTGGCGGTTTCCTCCAAGCCAGAAGGGAGGGGAAGCAGGTGGTGAGGTGAATCTGGGAGTTCTCCAAGCATGCCACTTGCTTAAACAGTAGTTTGTAAAATTACCTGAGATGCTGCCCATTGACCTAGGTGCTTGATTTTTAAAAATTCATTTATATTGGTATCACAGAGAGCTCAGAGCAAAATGAGCAGTTGTTCTCACTACAGGTCTCAGGAGTACCACATCAGTAAGAGATATTAAAGTAACACTACAGTCTTTGTGCTGTTTCCTCCAGGGCTTAGTAGCTACCAGCACATTTTACTCTCATTGAGAGAAGCTATAAAGCACATTCTACAGCATAACCCCTCATCCCAGTCAGGAATCTACATGGCAGGCAGTACAAGTCCTTTTACCAGCACAGGTACTGGGTAGTAATTTTGTTCAGTGATAGTCTTTTTGGCTATCATACTTGTTTATGTGAAATCAGCTTATAAAGATGACTGCTAAAAGATTCCTTCCAGATTCATTTATCCAAGTCTTGCATGCTTTTGGGTTGTATCTCTTTATCCTAGCTGCAAACTCTGCATTTTAACTTCTTTAAAATAAAAGCCCATACACCTGTGAAAGGAGTCAGATCTCTTTGTGCTTTGGTATCCTTAGTTGTCACTACCTTCTGATTGCATTTATTCTGTCTTGTAAAGTTATTTCCAAGCATTGAAAGATTTTATGCATTTAGTGAGAAAGTATAGACACAGAACCTCTACTGGTGCAGGTTTCTTCATCAATTACCTTTAAGTTCAATGAGGGAATGTACCTCCATTTAAAAAAATATATTCTCAATAGTAAATAACAAAGTTGTCCATTTTCTATTTTTATATAAATACAGTGTTGTAATACACATATATGTATTTCTGTATAGCGATTACAGAATTGCATGTCTAGTTTCGGTCATGATTAGGAGACTAATCTTGCAAAGATTTATCATGAGAAGTCCCACAGGAATGAACTGCATTGCTCAAGAGCAGAAAAGCATTGTCATATGAAAGTGATAAAACAGTCTTAAGGAAATTCAAACAAACGTGAACCTTCGTAAGTTCAACATGTTTTCTCCTATAAGTTCAAAAGCAATATTTCCTGCAATTTTCCTCAGTTGATTGCTGTACATCTCTAAGAGGCTTAATTTTCATCTTATTAAATGACAGAGAGCTAGGTGAAGGTCAATGTACAGACATTCATTCTGTAATGAGGTTAGGCTTCTTAATGTGGATTATTATAATTTCTATTTTCCACTTATTTGGTATGCTTTGCCAGGCTTTGTGACCGTGCTGTTTTGAGACTTAAACATTTATCCATGCTGTTAAAAGCCACCCTGTCTTTCTATTATGAATCAGGACATATTTGAAAGCCAATCAGCTCTCTTTTTGCTATGAAGTACTGTGTTATTTTCTAGCCAGACTGTCTGTGAAGTGATACTAATGTAGTTTTACGTTTTAAAAAGTAAATCTCTGGAAAATGGATCTAAGATGCTGTTATTTTAATAGAAACATTTTAATAATTTTGTAATTGTTAATAACTTTTTTTTTTCGCTTTTAGGTTTTTTGTGAACTGGGTTTTGTTCTAAGCGGTTTCTTAAACCAGTCCCCTATTGTGGGGACCAGATAAAGAATTTTGTTTTAGCATATAAACCTCCACGTATTAATATAGCTAGAATAAACTGAATCTTAAAGTGAGAGTAAACAGGTTATAATTGATCTTCACATCAAGGAGGAGGCAGAAATTATTGAAGAAAAGATGCTAAAAATAATCTAGTTTTGTTATTAAGAAGTGTGTTTATAACAAACCCCAGTTTATAAAAATACCAATGGCAAAAATCCCAGTCAGTGTTTTCAATGATAATCAGCCCTGTCAGAACAAATACAAAGTTGATCTGGGTAAAAAAAAAATAATCCAATTTTTTTCCTTGTTTTTCTTCAAAACATACTGTATTTAGCATACAAACATCTTATTTTCTTTTTCATTTCTTTACAGTTTTAATAATAACCAATGCAAAGTAATGTCCAAAAGTAATTTGTGCTCAGTTTGAAACATTATTTTTTATTCTTCTGAGGATGCTGATTGCCAAATGGTAGTATATATATGAATGCTTACATATACAAGTCTCCTGGGGGTCAGCTGTGGCCAGGGTTTCATTCAACTTCTTTTTGAAAAGACTTTATTTTCTCTAAGATTAGGTAAAGGAAGTAATTAAAAAGAAAAAAAACCAACCCAAAGCAAACCGAACCAAACTATAGAGTTCCTTTAGTGCTTCCAGACATTTATTTTACAAGCAGAAATAAAAACCTGTTCCTACAAGCACTATTATATGTGCCAGTAGAATTGCTCAACTGTGTAAAATTAAGCATATGCATTTATGATGTCAAAACATCAGCAGCATAATTAGTTGCATGGAAAAAAATTGAAAAATATGTTCACAGACCCAGTCTAATCTTAAGGAAGGAATCTACATAACTGCAGGCAGATAGCATAAGAGAACTTCCTTCTTTTAGGTGCAAAGTCAGCAGTTGAGGCAAGGCATACTGATTGCTCAGCTGAATTAATGTATAAAGTGAAAAACTCTCTCCTTAGATGGTTTCATGCACCATTTGTTCTGAACAGTCATAAAACATTTATTCCACTACTCTATTCTCTTCTATCCAGCATTTAAATGCTTTGTAACATCTGTCTTTTGCTCTAGTCAGAATCCAAGGCCACTTTACTAATAACTGAGGAGTAGCTGACAGGTATGGGCAACTACACTAAGAAAGGAAAAAAGGCTCATCTTCCTAATCTTGAAAAGAAAATAATCAGTTGGGGTTTTTTTACACAGAAAACTTATTTCCTAATAAAGAATTCATTTGACACATCTTTTGTTTAACTAGAGCACATCAATATGCCTTTGACTCTTGTATGTATAGGAGATAAAACAAGAAAACCAGAGATATTTCTAGTGGTTAAAAGAGAAGCAAACTTTTTCTCCAAGTTAAATTGCAAAATTATTGACTATTTCTCAGTGGGCAACAGGTGTCCCTGATGCTGCTCTAAGCTGCCTTTTAGTCTCTCAATCCTGAGAGCAAAATCAAAGATGCATTTCCGAGCAGTTAAAGTTTTATCCTTTGTAAGAGAATGAGCTTACTTAAGAGAAAATATATCTCTCTTACACTGAATATTTCTTATGATTTGTAGTAATTTTATGCATGGCAAGCAGGTATAATCCAGGTGGTTATATCTCCTTTGTGTCTGTTTCTAGAAGTTATATGCATTAAATAAATATATTTCAGGGTGGGAAACAGAGAAGCACCATTCCAGCAGGCATTACAAAATGAGCACAAACTGATCATAATGTGATCCAGTGATACCTCAAGAAACTCAGAATACATTTTTTTAAATAGCACAAATAGATGGAAGGTTCAGTTAAAAGCTGCTGTTGTTTATATGGGCTATTAGATAGGCCAAGTATTGCTTTTATAAACATCTCATGCTCTGCCTTGGACTTAACTTACTCACTTCCTCTGCCATTTGTAATAGTAGTTGTGCCTGGCACTTGCAACTCAAGAGGGGGAGAAGAACTTCAACTTCATTTATTAGGGAAACGATTCTAGCTAGCTACATAAAACCTTTCCATTTACTGTGAAAAAATATTATATTTTATCAGAAGTAGCAAAAGCTTTAAATGAGTTAAAAATAACTCTGGAAGTCAATGGTTATTTGACCATATGTAAAGCAACATTTGGCTCCAAGTTGTAAATGACTCTTTTTTGAGCTGCATACAAAATATCATTGTGGCAGCATGAACTGGTGCTCAGATACTGCAAGATAATGAAAACACTATAGGAATATATTTACATATCCCTAAAAAGAAGTGAAAATAAAAACAGATCTGACAGCATTTCATCAGTTTTTAGAATGTGGAATAAGATTCTCTCTTCACTTGAAAGCCACCACCATCTGGGAAACACAGCTTTCAGTTACAGCACACTACAGAAAGTATTTTCACTGAATTTTTTCCTACCTGGAGTTGTTTAATTTTGCTGTGGCTAATGTAGAGTCTCCTGGTGGTGTAAGGAATCTCTCTAGGGATCTCTGTAGCTCTGTAGCATTGCACTGACTGGGCAGGGTCACAGCTGCATCTTCTTGGGCAAGTGGCACTTACACCACTGTGAAAAGAAAAGAAGACTAAAAGGTAAGATAAATACATCTTCCAAAACAGGTACTCTGAAATTGTCTCAGCAATATACAGCTTGAATTAAGCACCAAAGTCCTTTTATACCATGAAATCTGATAAAAGGATATTATGACTGTGTATTTTATCCCAGTGAAAAAACAGCAAAAACAATACCGCAATTTGCCTGGGTTAAAATGTTGGCAGGCATTACAAAGAGTGAGAAACTTAAACAGTGATAAGGTGCCTTTACATTTGTAGGCATGTGAAATTAGTGTTATTTATTACCTGACATCTAATGTGCAAACATCCATATTATCTCCAGTTTCCTAGTTTTGTTAAATGTGACACCACAAAATTAGTGGAGAAAAGATAAAGAGCTGTTTTATAGTGGGGCTGTAAAACCTTTGTATCTTCTGTGACCCAGTACTGGAAACAGTAAAAACAACTGCAACCAACACCGAAGCTTTTTCACTCTTCCTCTTGCATTATTCTGACCCCCCAAAAAACCCCAAACTCAGGCAGCTATTATTTTTAAGGTAAAACATTCTGTTAGCTTTCTGAATATCTGTGGTACAGCTGAGTGCTGCTGGTTGGTAGACATTTTTAAATCGCAGTTACCTATGTTTGTGTAATTCCCAAAAATCAAAGTTTAATTATTCTTGTATTTGAAAATTACAAATGTGAATTTCTTGAAAGCATTTAGTATAAATCAAGGGGTAGATGATCAATAAGACCTATTTATGCCATGACAGATGGAGAACACTAAGGTTCCCCTCAGAGTTTTCTCTCTACTTAGTGGTGCTTCTCTCATGTATCTACTAGCTGTGCCAGCTAGAGATGTAAAGTTTTTAAAGGCTTACAGCTTGCTTTATGATTATTTTACAAACTTTCTATGCATTTTTTCTTTTGTATTCAGCAGTTTACAACATATAAAGCTGTCTAATTAGGAAACCTTTGTATCTTACGCTACTAATCTGCTTTGCACTGTTACCTGCTTCCTTCCATCCTGTCCATCATATTTTCAGTAGCAGTTAATCCTATTCCTTTGAATTCAGAACAGGGCCAGTTATTTTTCTAAGCAGAAGATGATGTCAAGTTAATTTGACAAATAGATAACTGGAGACAATTGCCATATTCCCTCCTGGAGACCCTCCTGCCTCCTTAATCCCCTACACTGTTAGTGCAGGACTGCAGTCCAGCATCTGCTAAACCAAACAGCCAGAGCAGAAACCTTTTCCTAAAGCAGCTTGTCAAATCGGCATGTTTAATAAGGTATGCAGAAAAATCCTGCCTGACTTATGCCATGGTGATCCACTGAGCAAAAATGAGTGGGTGAGCAGGATTAGCAAAGGTGCTTTAAAACAAATATTTTAATGTAGCTTGATCTAGAGTTTGGTGCCTGGTTTGTGGTTTTACTCTTCCTCCCCCCCCGCTCACCCCCAAAGAGTCAAAGTACCCAGACAAAAGCGTAAAACCTTTCTGCATACCGACAGCTACTTGTGGTATATTTCAGCACACCCTGGAACAAGTTTTAATCCCATCTTCCCACTGACTTGAGTTTACATGCTGAGATCACTAAGACAATAATGCTCAGGATCTTATGTAGGAATTTGTGTTTCTCAAAATTGTTATCAAAAAGCAACTGTTTTTTGCTCAAGGAGGCTCAAGAGAAATGCAGACCAAACCCTTAGATTTGCAGATTAGAGCTCTAGAGCACAGCAAAGTCAGACTGAGAATCCCTTTGAGTAAGGACCATACATTGCATTCTTCGTTTTTGTAAATTCTAAGTCACTCAGCTGATGTTAGAATTCACAGCTGTAGTTACAAGGTGACACCACAGGAAGGTGCAATATTCTTGGCTCTTTGCATTTTTGAATAACATCTATATCCTTGGTCTTTTCAAACTAATGAAAGGAAACTTTATTGGCTTAATAGTTTATTTATGTGATATTAATTACAATGATTTAATCAAGAATGATAATATGTGTCCATTAATTTCTGATATATGTCTGCTTTCGGTGGTTAGGTATGTTAAAATTACAGCTATGAAAGGCGATCCTATTAAATCTGTTCTGTACCAATTCTGACACACATCCACCAAAGCTGATGCCTTTGCTTTTGCACAAAACTATGACCTGTATGTTTTTTATTGATTCTAGTAGTCCTGATGGCAACAGAACTGACGAAGAGTCACAGGACTGTAAGAGCATAAGCCTAGCAGGAATACGTGAGCTAGGAGACCAAAAAAAAAAGGTGAATAAATATTTCAGGATCTCTGCTGTGAAAGCAGCACTGCTGGCCCATGAGTTGCACAGCTTTGCAGGGTAATGTTAAGAAAATCAATCACTGGTGGCCATTTCCAGCCAGCAGTTTTCATTCAGACTCGTCACACCTTTCTATGGGGATTCCTGTGTGCGACTCATGGCATGATATTCCCTTCCGTCATTTCTCTGTCAGAAAGAATCATAGATCCTATTTTATCTTCTAGCTTACATCAACTCAAGCTTATGTTTTATCCAATATGTTTATTTTTATGTTTTGTCCAATAGATTTTACTACTTTGCCATCATCCTCTATAACCAATGTCCATATTAAATGTCAACAACACAAAATGGTTCAATACAGACTTTGAGTTTAGCACATTTTGATCTGAAGTGTTTACCATTGGTTAAAACACACACCATGTAGGCTGTCCCTGGGACTTCTCATAGGCAGGTTACAGGTGCTATCATTCATTCTTTCAGGATTGCTGCTTTTAGTTCAGATCTGACGGAGGCTTCATAAAGGACTGTAAAGTTTGGGGGAAGGTTCCAAATGTATCAATTAGTCTAATAAAAATATGATCTTTTTGTACAAGCCTTGCTTCACACAAGATTTCAGCTTCTACAGTAGTGGTGTTTGGGCCTTTTCTTTCTTTACCAAAGTCAGAGGTTTGACAAAAGCACACATCTGTATGTCAAGACATAATTTTTAAACCTACATTTAGAAAAATCACATAAAGTAAGATGACATTAAAATTAGAATAATAAATCTGCAAAACTCTAGTTACAGAGCATTTAGAAATGTCTGAGTTAAGATAACCCATAAAACCCACAGGTGGATCCTCTGTAATGTACATGATGGCATAGACCACACAAAGGAAGGTGCAATCTTATCACAAAAGACTTGGAGAAGCTGAGCTCTTACAGTCGAGGTGTTCCTTGTCTATGGAGGAAAAGATATTGCAGGAAAAGACTGGCTTAGGGCCTGCAGAGGGCACGGGTAGGAGCTTGGCTGCTGAGGGATGTCACGATCACAAGCATTTTGGCAACTAAGAGCTGCTAAGTGATGGCGTATGCTCTGAAGAATCCTTGGCATATTTAGCTGCCATATGCTATCAAGTGCCTGTCACTGAGTACACGTGAATTTATAATTATTTTTTGCTGGAGGTTTTTAACTTGGATTTGAACCAGTTTTTCATAGGGAAAACAAATGGCATTTGTCTGTTGCAAGGGTTACCTCCAGTCAATCACTTCCCTCCAGAGTGGATCGAGCTGCTAAGGGAAACAATCATAACATTGTTTTTAGAAACATTATGCTTCCCTTAATCATATGTTGAAATAATTTGAACTGCTTTACAGAAATATTTCTTAAACAAAGAGCCTCAAAGGGTTACACTGAGTCAAGAATGTCAACCTAGATGCATTCTAGGCAAATTAATGATACCTCAATAATCTAAAGATTATAAATTTATCAAAAGTGATTTTGTGTTTTATTCCTACAAAATGCAAGTAAAGTTTCACAAAAACAATCAGAAGCTTGTCTGAAAATGATGCCTCAATCTTCTTCATAAGCTGAGAATTTTGTGGAAATACTTTTTATCTGCTTTCATAGTAAGTGGAGAATGAACTTTCTAACTCCAGGCAAGGTCATCTTCATACACTAGAAACAGCTGTTGGATGACTTAAAACAGATTTTTCCTCCACACAATAAGGTAGGTTTCCTTTTTTTCCTCTATGCTGGCTACACAGAGGAGATTAAAGTGATAACCCCTTAGGAATTTCTCACATTTTGCCTGTCCACATTTGCATTCCAGAGGAGCTAGCACAGTGAAACCTGCTGAAGGGAATGAAACCTCATTACAAAAAAAAATTCACGTATTGAGGACTTTTAGTCATTGCCAGTTTTAGTATGTATAGTGCTGAGAGATGCTAGCCAAGATCAGATGCATCTGAAGCAAGCACCCCACAAACAACAAATGAGCAGTACCCATGTGGAGGAGGTCAATCTAAATTATTTCATACACATTTTAAAAAATAAACAAAAATTCAGAATAAAAGTAGTTACGCAAAAGTGTATACATAGAAATAAGCATGGCAAAAAGACCACAATAAGTACTGTAAAAAAGAAAAACTTGTCTGAAGAAGTTACTTGTGTATGTTGTCTTGTGTAAAAAGAGACCAATAAGGAGTTAATGTTCCCTCAAAATAGTAGTAAGTGAATTGTTGCACCCATGTACTCACTGCATAGACTCTGAAATGCAGCCAATTATGAACTCTCTAGGCCTGCAAGGCAGGAATCACATAAAAGGTAAAAAACTGGAAAGTCCGAATTTTGTTAGCAGAAATTTTCTGTAATGAAGACTGAAAACATTTGTCCCTTTAAACATCAGTGCAGCTGGACTTTCTCCTCTCTAACAGGCTTCAGAAAGGCACATTCTATTCTGCTAGTCTAACTCCTTTTTTGGAACATGAAAATCCTGCTTTATCATCTCAATTTTCTCCCATACTTTGATACTGCAAGATATTATTTGTTTTCTCTCCATTTCCCCTTGGGTGTCCCCGCTGGTGACTGTACAACCACCCACGCAATCAAACCACTCAAGATGCTCCAGCGCTGACCACACAGAAGATGGCCTTGACACGTGCAGGTGCTGCAGCCTGACATGCACAGCTGGGCAGCTGCAATTACAGGAGTTTCCAGGTGAGCTGACCCTCATGTGCAAACACATGTGTTTATATTGTAAATTCTTTGTGCAGAGGCTAGGTCTAACCAAAGGTTTGCAGAATATCTCACACACCACTTTCCCAGTCTTGGCATGGACTCTAGATACCAAATCTAGAGCAGTGGAGATGTTTATCAAAGTATTATTTTTTTCCCCTTTTGATCTGAGTATTACTTTGCTTTGTTTTTTATGAAAATGTGTCCTCCTCATGCTTAAGGTCATTTACTCCTTAAGCACAAAGTCATTTTTCAGACAGTTTATCAGGTACTCCAGCAATCAGTTTAAGTATTTAGGTTTAAATTTATAAAGTACTGTTTGTACTCAAACAATAACAGAGTAACACAGACACCTCACATTCTCTACACTCTGCTTTACCTAAAATAATTAAAATTATGTGCATAAATTATATGTGGAGAAATTAGCTGGTGATTAGCTTCACCAGCTCTGCCACTTGATCGATAAGGTGAAATGAGCAGATCAGGAAACTTTCAGTGAAGTCCTTTTGTCATTAAAAATATTAAACAAATTTAAATTCTTCTTGATGTATAATTTGCTGCAACTGTTTAATTGTTAGAAATGTCTATTGAGTGTAGAAAGGATTCTTACTGCTAGACCAGTTGACTCAAACTACCGCTGTTCTGTAAATGTTCTTCAATTATTTTGTTGCTGTTATCAGGGTTGAGTATACTATAGTTTACTTTAAATTGATTTAATCTAATTGAAGGCCAAAACTACTAACCTCTCAGATTCAATACCATAATTAATGAACAGCTGGCTTACAGAACAGAGTTCAGGTTGTCTGGGGGCTTTTGGCAGGCATTTCAAGGGTAACTGGAACTGATCAGAATTTTCTAAGGGTCCTGCAAGTGTAGTTTTGAGATAATTAAATTATTGGTGTGTTTACCCTTATATCAATGATATGTGCTTTTAATTTCAACTTCTTTTTTACATGGCATTTGTGGTGAGTAATATAAACAGTACCTAATGATAACTAAATTTACTCAGATTTGGAGTCACAGAAGCAAATTTCCTTCAAAATATATAGCATTCCTTCTCATTTATCTGTAGTCCAGCAAGTATTAGACTGATATTATGCTGCAGGTAGGCTTCTGAAATAATTGCATTTGAGAAGCTAATCTTTGAGTGGAATAAGCAGAGACAAAACTGTGTTTGACCTGTGAAATGTAAGGACATGCAAAACAAAGGTAGCACTGATAAGGGATGAAAGAGTTAAAATTAATGACAACAAAAATCTGCTATCACTGTAGATAAAGACAATTTAAGATAGAGCTAGACCAACCCCTAAGCTAAAGGGAAAGGACACTAAAAGACTGAGAATATGTGATTCTTTAAAAAGCAGCAGTTGTACATAAATTAGATGAAGTTTTTAAAGGCAGTAATTGCGATAGATATGGAAAACTTCCTTCTCAAGATAAGGAGATACTGTTTAAATGCATGATTGATATATATTAGCAGAAAATTGTAATGCTTGGCTAAGTGCTAGATTACCATTCTGTTAAAAAAGTGTAATTCTATAGGTACTTCCCCTGAGTGATATCTACCAGAATCAAAGCCAAAGCTAACAAATAAAACTGATAGTCCTGAAACAATTAGTTTTATTATGTGGCCGAATTAATTTTTAGCTTTTGATATAGTAAATATTTTGATCTCCTGTCAGACCCTTTTGTGTAAGAAAAAGACAGTCAACATGGCTATGGAAGATGAGCGTCAGAACTGCAAATGCTCTGTCAAGCTGGGCTTACTCAGAAGCACTTGAGCGACTTTAGACACTTAAACCGTTTGTGTAGCTACTATTCTGAATACACCAATTTACTGAGCCAGATTTTTTTCTGTGGGTATATATGTAGTGTGTTTGTAGCTTTTGTTTCTATTGTAGATGGGCTTAACAGTACAAGCATCCCCGTTAGCTGCCCTGTTTGTTACAGGCCACCTTCAATTACAGTGCAGACAATTTGAGCAGTAAAGGGCAATTGAGCAGGTTCATATTAACAACTTGTAAGGTTCTTGTCAAGCCTATGATAGCAGATCCCAGAGGAAATGTGGTATCTACTGTTAGTGGTGAAGTTTGCTTTTACCCGGCTTTTCTGAAAGCAGAGATTGATGGGAATACAGTTCTTTCCTGCTTTGACATCTCTCTTCACATTCCAGGTGAATGGTCTCACCAGTCAAAGCGGTATCTTTGTGTCTCTCTGTGTCCCAATCTATTATTTATGCAAAGTAGAGCAAAGAAACTCATCCCAAGATGCCCTACTACCCAGGGGGAGGGCATGCAGGGGTCTGTTTTCTTGGTACTGGCTCCTCGACTGACTGGAGGGCCCCTATGCTTCCCTTCTGCTGTGCTGACAGAGTAGTTTGTGGGGCCATGCTGCAGACAGGATTGGGGTCCTGATCTGGCTTAAAATGATCCCTTTTCTCTTTTGAGGTGGAATTACTACTTTGATGCAATAAAGCCAAGCTGCAGGAGATCTCTACAAGACCTGCTAATAAAGCTCCTGCTGAAATCAACATCAGAATCAATTGCAGTATTTCAAAGGAGACAAGCTGCAAACCAAGGTGAGTGCCTTGGAGAAAGCACTCACGTAGAGATAGCTTATTCCCTAAAATTTATTTTGTTTTCAGAACCAGAATGAGCTAAAAAAAGAGTAAATACTTCTTGTATAGGTATAATTGCATTCAGCAGCTCTGCTAGAGATGCAGAGGTGCCTGGGGCAGTCCTTTTTATGCAATACGTTCAAGTTTGCATCTTTGCCGAGCAGGAGCAATGAATATATAACTGCAAATAGAGCTCTGTGGTTTGCACCTGCTTGTCGCCTTTGTGAATTGTTATAAAAATTCCCTTCCCTAACTATTATATTGGTCTTTATAGCATGAAAATGTATTAACTTTGTTAACATAAATGTTTACATTACACACTGTAATGTAGTGAGGAAGTGGAATTTTACTGGAGACTTCAATATTCTTCATGCTTAAGTAAAATGAACCAAAGGACAGCCCGGCCCTGGAAATAAGGACTTTACTTCTTGGGAGGTTAGAGCCACTCATGAAGGATGAAGGATACCCTGAGACAGCCAAGGTAATGCCAGCATCCTACTTCTCTGATGTGTCTTTGAAACCCTGCCAGCATTATCTGATGTTATGGATAAGGAACAGTAACAAGACTGACTCCAGGGGCATCTGGATCAATAGATCTGTAGCAAGAATGCTGCAGAAATAGAGCTGCTTTGCAAAGTTTTACTATGATGCGTTATGGATACTGTGGGTGACGGTGATTGGTCAAATTGTGTCGGACTTGAATCTGGAGGGTATGAGAATCTTGTGTAAAACCACATTCGGGGTGCCCCAATTTGGCTAGGACACCTCATGTGCGTGAGTATAGCACGGTAACGGGGAGACAGGCCCACGGATGGGCTGAGCAGCCCCCCCGGGGCGGGCGAGACCCATTCGTGCCACTCGTCCCTCTCAGGGCCCGGCCCGCAGCGCCCCCTGGCGGCACAGGCTGGGGAACGGGCGGGGAGGCCGCCATCGGGGATTTGGTGCTCGGCCGTTGCTGCCTGCCGCCGCTTGGAGTTGTGGCAGG